CTCGGGGATCAACCCGAGTAGGAAGGACACCGCGATGGGACTCGTGGGGTCCGTGGCTATGTAAATGGATGATTCCAGCCTCGTCACACAAATTTCGCGCTCAAGGCGCTAATCCTTACGGGCCTGCGACCATCGGCTCCCCAGGACTGTAGCGTGTTTCAGGCGCGTGTTTTGCTCTCTTTGCATGGCTCCTCGCCGCCATCGTAGCACACACGCAGTCACTGAAGGTGAAGGCCTTAATTTTAGCGTTTCCTGGAGATTTCTCCTGCTTCCCTCCCACCTTCAGTTCATTCCGCCGCTCTGTCACAACTGCGCAGCGCTCTTATATACCAGCTTTAGTATACAGTTCCACTGCAGTACCGACGTTTCGAAAACTTTGCCGTCGCACTCCCTACATCGTCTTACTGAGAGACGTAAAACCGCACTGATGCAAGTCGTAAGCAAAATATACGGTCTTCGGACCCTTGGAAGACCCTCCTTCTCCACTATTCCCTCAAACTTAGTAAGGTTTTTTTGTCCTCTCTTGCTATTAGTCAGAACAAGACTTCAAGGCAAATTTCACGACGAAACGGTAACCCATCGGAAATTGAGTAAAAGATGGTCAGTGATGCAAGAAAGAAGGAAAACCGAGGGAATGACACGGAACCCGAGAAGTGGGACCCCTTCCTTGCACTTTGATTCCCACATTGGTGTGACTCTCATAGTTCTGCCCTCTTCAACGCTAGCCCTTTCTCTGCTCTAATCACACGAGTGATTAGATAGTCAGTGAGCGTTCCGGGGCAACTGCGCCGAAAGGAAGGCCATGTGAGATCGCCGGGGCTATCCATCGATGTGAATTGCCATTGGTTCGCTCCCTAGGGATCCGCCTGTCTTCCACTAGGTCAGCTTCCCCTTCTCCGACCTTCGCTATTGATAGGCGATCGCATAAGCTCTAAACTGATAAAAGGAAGGAAGTCCGCCAGTCACTGCTAGGAACTCTTTCTATGTTGCACCACTCAATCGAGAACGGGTCATTTTCTTCGAATAGCGGAGCATGAAAGCAGCAAATACCTCCCTTTTCGAAAACGAGAAGAACGTCTGGCGCGAACCATACGCCACAAGTGACGACGGCCTCCAAATAAATCTGGTTCGCAGTGGTGCATCATGTTGCGCTTTTTGCTAAGGGATAGTTGTAATTAGTGACAACTGATAGAATACAAATGCAACAGGCTGATCTTTTTATTGGCAGGAAACATTTACATCTTGTTGAGGCCGCTGTCACTTATGGTGTCACCCGGTGCCCTTCTCGTTTTTCGAAAAGGCAGGGTAGGTGTTCGGGACAGCGACTTTCAGCGGCACCTGCTCCTAGAATTTCAGTGTTCCAGTCTCTTCTGCAGTACATTAACATCACAAAAAAGGTCAAGTTTAACTTAGTAGCAGCTCCTGCAGTTTACTGCAGATGTTGCTTGCTCAACATCCTGAATCAGTCTACTCGTGTCCGATGTCTAATCCCCACCCTCATCATCTTCGAGACTCTCGCAAATTCTGGAAAAGCTACATGACTCACTGCTGCACAGCATTTTTTTATCCAAGATCTAACGCATGGTTGATATTGTGACAAGCTTGCAGCCCTATTCCGGATAACTATTGTGTGAATAATGAACTCACACAAACTCGCCTTTTGAAGGCGGAGGTGGTGCTAACTTTCAAAGGACGTCCCTCCCTTGGGCGGAGGTGCTGGTTCCGCAACTGTAGAGGTTGCGACAACCTGGCACCTCTAAATACCTCATCAAGGCGCCAGACGCCCACTTGAGCTGCCGGTCAAACCATGTCCCTCGCTCGCTGTCCAGGTCTTGGACTTTTTGGCAGCGTAGAGCAAGAAGGTTCGTATTTTCTGTGTCTCTGGCGATATTTCTATCTTTTTCTCCTGTTTGAGTCCATTTACATCAATACAGTTTTCGAAACATTGAAAACGCGGCAATAATTATTAGTTTGAGAAGGAAGTTCTGCAACACTCTTTTCAAAATTTTCTTTTTTTCTAAACAATTCATAGGTAACATTTATGACTAACAAATGGTGGAGCATTCTCGAGGTTTTAATCCACGAGGTGGATATAAGTGCTGCAGTCAGTAGTTATCCAAGAAAATTTACAACCTCAACCACTGGTAAATCCATATTCCGAGTCACTGTCTAGTTACAAATGTCTCCATGACTATTTATTCGTGTCAAGGACCAACACTATCTGCAATAGCTTTAATAGGCATGTCGTTCACCGCTATAGCGTGTTTCATCTTGACCAACGCTTTCGTTCTTTTGATCCTACTTACTATAAAGCGCTTCGTCTGCCGTTCTGTATGTCTGTCACGAAATTCCCTAGCTCCTGAGGATTTGCCTGGAGAGACCTGGTCAAGCGCGGGATGGGTGGGCAAAGTCTCGCGAAGTACAAAACACACATCAGCTAAGCTGAGCCCCGCTCACGGTGGGCGTGGCGTGCATCGAAGTGAATTGTACTGTGGACCAAGATTTCAATTTCAGTGACAAAACAACTTCGAAACTAAGCCAAAACGTGGGTAAAGGTGAGCATTGGTAAGCCACATCGAATTAGGGAGACCCACCCCCCGGTGAGCGGGGCATCTCCGAAAAAGCAATGCTTCATGAAAAATTTCATAACTCGGTTGAGAGAAAGCCTACAGAGCAGAAAAAAATTGATGTAGGGGACCAATGTCTAAGGTGCTCCCAGCATACACGACGTTGGCAAAGGTTCGCCCACAATGGGCGGAGCGCGCTCTGAAGTGTACAGTGTTTTCTACAAGTCCTCATAATTCGGGCCGAAGAAGTCTAGTGAGCCGGAAAGGAGTGGATAGAGGTGGTTGGAGGAGTGGAGGCCAAATGTCATCGGTGGGCGGAGCATGACTAAAGTGGGCGGAGTTTGCGATGGAGCTTTATAACTCAGCTCCATAATGTCCCGGAGACCGGGAAAAGGGAGGACAGAGGTGTTGAAGGAATGGAGATCAACTGCTGTTGGTGGGCGGGGCATGACAAAACTGGGCGGAGCTCGCGACGAAAATTTAATCTCGGTTCCATGATGTCCCAGAGACCGGGAAAAAGGGTGATGGAGGTGGGTGAAGAAGTGCAGCCTTAGTACTGTTATTTGCGGAGTTCTCCACAAAACTTTGTGACTCACCAGGAAGTCTTTCAGGGCGTGACGAGCTTTTTGAAAACGGTCTTTTGCATGATATAGGGGCAGATGCGGGAACCACAGAACCATGTTTAATTTTTCCTGAACGGCCCTCTGAATACCAGAAAAGGGGGTCCCTAGTTCGATTCCTCTTGGTGACAAATTTTTGCATTTCGAGTTGACGTTCCAAAATTCGCGCAAAATGGAGTTAGCATGAATAATTAGTGCCATATTCATGATTAGGGCCATCAGCAACTCTTACAAATAGACTTTGATTAAAAAACTGGTGAAAAAGGTGTGACACCACAGTGGGGCTGCTTGATGTCACACCTCTCACACCAATTTTTGAGTCAAAGTCTTTTTGTAGGAATTACTGATGGCCCTAATCATGCATATGGCACTAATTATTCATGCTAACTCCATTTTGCGCGAATTTTGGAACGTCAACTCGAAATGCAAAAATTTGTCACCAAGAGGAACCGAACTAGGGACCCCTTTTTCTGGTATTCAGAGGGCCGTTCAGGAAAAATCAAACATGGTTCTGTGGTTCCCGCATCTGCCCCTATACCATGCAAAGGACCGTTTTCAAAAAGCTTGTCACGCCCTGAAAGACCTTCCTGGTCAGCGGCAGGAAGTGCTGGAGACCGGGAGAAGTGAGCGAAGGAAAGAAAGTGAATTTCTAATGGTGAGCGGAGAATACACCGAAAAAGCAGGATTCGCCGCCAAAATTATAAATCCTCTAAGAGGTAATTCAGATCGGGTAAAAAGTGGGAAGAGGTTGGCGAGGAAGAAAAGATAGGTGGGACAAGCGCGGCACGCATTCTACTTCCATTTGTAAATTCGTAGTGGCGTTTGAATGCGATGTGGCCTATACAATGACTTGCGGGACCAACCGATGCACAAGTAACTGTTTTTAGCCTCCCAGACAAGTCTGGTACCAATTAACCGAACGCGGAGGGATGGAAGGCTTGGTTGGCCTGGGCGACTCACGATCCAGCATTTGATCCCCGGACCGCTCGCGTGGTAAGCATGCCACATGCCACTACACCACTTGCGCCCTCAAGTAAAGTTACATTGGATTTTTTCGATTAACTGGATGTGTGACTTCTTATGAGGGCAGAAGACCGACGTTCATGGGAAGTGCGTCAGTCACCAGTGCCGCACACACCAGCGGCCTCATGTGATTCGAAAGGCCTCAAGCAGTTTCCTTTGCTCTCTTTCATCACTGCTTTACCTGGATACTACATCCACTCTCTTCGCTTACGTAGCAGCTGACACCAATTCAATCCGGTATGCGCCTTCAACTGTCTACGAAATTCAGAGTTAGAGGTTGTTCCCATTATGCATGAAAGTCCAAGATTCACGAGCACTTAATCGCTCAAAAACTAATTTGCTCACCAACAGCTTACACGTGCACCATCAGGCTCATCCCTCACACAGCAGGAGCTAAATTTTGGGAGGTCTGAAGAAATAAGCCACTTGCTTTGGGAAGCTTCAGCGCTGAGGCTTCCGTTCCGCTTATGGTGTCTCAACGATTCCGGAGCAGGTTAAATGTTCAAGTAAGCCAAAATAGTCGCCAACTGTACTATTCGAACAAAAGTTGCTTTACTCGCTAAATGAATATATAGCAAAATAAATAAAAGGAACGTTCGATATCGATTCGATAGAGTATGCGAGAATCAACAGAGTACGATAGAAAGAAAAGGTATGCATTGCATAGGAGAGGAGGACGACATCCAACGAATTCGAAATTTCGACACAATCTTCCATGACAGTATCCCATGGGGAAGGAGAAGCATTCAGGGTGAAAGTTTGAGCCGTTGACAGCACTGCCATTTTTCAGGGGAGCGAAGCTCTGGAGTGCATGCGCATTTCGCTGCCGCCACATCAACTTTGGAGCTTTCTGCTCCTGCAAGAAAACGGGACTACTGTAGGTGACACGAAATATTGAGTACAGATTCCACACCGTTTTCCATCAGAGCCTTTTCCTTCATTATCAGCGTTGAAAAAGTAATATCCACAATGTTTCCCTTTCGACAGCGAACTAGTCCAACCACTCCGGAGCTCCTCCACACTACCCGCAGTCACACCCCTCGCCCTCTTTAAAGCAAAAGTTCAGGGAGGGTCCGAAAAATTTCAATGCCACTACTACTGAGGAGATAACATCGAGCCCTAGTGAAGAACATATGCAGTGGAAATAATAAACGAACTTACCTCAGAAACCCAAAAACAGGGTGGAAAGTCCCTCAAACATGGGTCTTCTTGGGGATTTCCCCAATCCCGCCCCCTTGCCGGCCGTCATTGGACGCGTCGGCAATCGTGCTCGTTTTGGGACCACAGGGAAAATTGACTGAAAAATGGAGCGCGCTTATAGCGGGCACGTTCAGACAACTCGTCCAACGTCCAACCACATTCCTTATTATGATTCCCCTTTCCTCGTTAAAGCAACAACCCACGCGGTCATGTGGATAAAACTATCCGGTGGGGAGGACCGGCCATTGTCAGCGGCTCAAAAGTGCGCTAGAGCCTTGACAAGGGAAAAAATCTGAGCAAAAATGAGCAAATTTGAGCAAGTAGGCAAGATTTTCCACGCTCATTCCTAGCAGGCGCTCGGTACAGCGTAGCGGCTAACTCCAAACGCGCACTCTTGTAGAAGGGAATGCATCGAGTGTTTGCACGGAGCCAGCAATTGCCGGCATGGAACTTTAAATTTCAGAAACTCGCCCGGACACGCCCTTCCTTGTCCCAAAGCAGAAGGGAGGAGATTCTTTTTGAGGACGTCACAAGCGCTTTCTTTTGCCTTATTTTTTCATTTTCACACCTCCCCCTCCCCCCCCCCCCCACCACCACTTCACTCGACTGAACGCTACTTTATCGCGGGTCGTTGCTTTCAAATTTGATGCTACCTCCATGAAACGATTGACGATTTCGTACTAAAAGTTTGACATTTGGTACTGTGGGGAATGACAAGCCAATGAGGGAAAAATCAGTGAAGATTTCTCCGCGCACCACCGAGTGTTCCCATTTGCCAGACGCTGAAATACGAGTCAATTATTGAGCACCCTTCATCGGAGGATTACGTTGAACTGACCTCGACGAATGACTTCAAACCGTTGATCGTGATCCTGTTGTGACCGATAAAGAACTCGGAAGCAGTTAGTTTAGTAAGGATATTGTCGTCCATTTGTAGACGATCATCTTCCCGACAGCTGATATAAAAGCTCCGCCTTGTTACAATGAATTCGAGAACCTCTGCGTTTTGCTACTATTACGGTGAAAACCATGGTCAATTTTATGGAAGGTGACGCTGGTAGGAGCAATGCCACGAAGAAATCGAAGAAGCGTGGATGGTGTAACGGTGCTCAATGATGTTCCTGTTATCGTTAGATTCTCTACTCGACAGCCCATACCTACCACACAAGACATAGTCTGCCGCAGAATTTCGTCCGTCAATTTTGGCCGCATCTGAAATTATAATGTGAAACATGATATTCTTACCCGTTCTAAGTACGGTACAGAAATCTCGACAGGTTCACGTTCTGTGGAATCTGCCCTGTCCTTACTAAGTTTCATTCAAACAAAGATGACATAGAGGAAAGCGGCGCCGCATACCGCACTAGATGGGTCAATGTCCGTTGGTGTGAAAGCAAACCAGGGTCAATTCTACGTTGTAACTATAATAGTAACAGCGGGGGGGGGGTCGTACTTGGTTGAGGTTTTAGGAGGGGGGTTCGTATTCGCTTCAGTCGCGTGAAAGTACAGGTGAGTTTGTGGTTAAAGTGGAGTTTTCACAAGTAGTATGCTAGGTGAGTGGGGAGCGGCGCGGAGAAAAATTCGCTGTATCAGCACGCGTACGCGCGTGTATACCCCTCCCTCCTCCTAGAAAATGGAGGAGTGGGATTACAGGTAAAAGTGGGAGAAGGAGGAGTAAATTGGCTGAATCTTAGAGAACTTTGGTAAAATTTTACTGTTTTTACTGTTTCATAGTAGCTATATATCCCCCGCCCGACGGCATTTTTGGAGGAAAAAGTGGGCGTTTTGGTGAGTTGTGTGGACCAGAATTGAATACTATAGAAGGAACATGGTGGTCGAGGGTCGAAGTCGAAAATGAGGCCGTGCCAAGTCCACCTTGGGGGAGGGGGTCGTAAAAAATTTTGAAAAAGTAACAACGATAGGACTGACCCTGGTGCAAACGGGGTCGCATTTGGTCCATGATGATGTGTGTGCAGGGTCAGCCGTCCGCAGTGCCGCTTTCAAAGCTTCTACGACCAACCCCCCCCCCTTTTTTTTTCGAGGCGTCAGAACGACCCCTTTTCGTGAGCTATTTCAGTCTCTTCACATATTTTTATGCCCATCATCGATGTAGAGGTCGCCATCACAATGAAAAGAGGTGATGGGCAGTGGGAGCTTGTGTCGCGCGCGTTGTTCCGCACAGTATGGGAGTCGAGCTGACATGAAATTTTACTCATTTATTCGAAGTGACTTCTACATTGTGCATATACCTAGTTACTTTGTAATCGCAACGCTCCCTTTTCAGAAATCTATCGAGTTTTTTCAGAGTTTCGAATCTCTATTTTTAAATGGACACTAAATATTGCTGCGGACCTTTCATTCAAGTGTTTTTATCTTTCGTCAGTAGTGTTCGCATCAAATGGGATTCAACCTGAAGAAACTTGAACTGTTTTCATCCTGAAAAGTGTGTGTACTAACTGCGAACGCTAAGCACCTCAAAAAAATTGTTCCATTTTTTGTGCACACGCAAGTTTTTAACATTTAGGCGTTCATAACTTTCTTCATATTATACTTTTTGCAGATCACCAGGGCTAAATTGAAACCGTGAGCTTTCAAAAGGTACTGGAGTATTTTCTAAAAGTCACGTTTAAAAAATATTTCCATTGTTTCGTTTGCCAAGGTTTGTGGTCTGATTTGAAGAACGCGCAAGTTTTGAACACTCGAGCGCTCGTAATTTTCTTAGAGAAAGCACTGAAACTTTTTCAATACCAATCCTTCAAAAAAAAAGTTTCCGTTGTTAGCTAATTTTTGGATCGTTCATTTTTCGAAGAGTTTACCTACCGTCTAATAGCCCACATACATATGCACCGCGTTCGAAGAAGGTGATCTGACAAATTCAAAGATAAGTAACACAAACGCATGTGTCCAACGCTGACACTTTGCAAATGGCTTTCACCATTGTCAGCCTCTTCCCCATTGCAAGCCTGATCTAATACGAAAACCGCCTAAGATTGAAGGGCAATCTATCCCTGACGATGCAATACTGTGAGTTGTATAAACCGTTTCAAATTCCACCGCAATTCTATTCGGCAAGTGAGGATGTGCGATCCCAGGAAGCCCAGTAGCCGACTTCTAATTCTTTTTATCGTACTCCAACGTGGAGGAGCTGCTAATGAGTTTGAGAAGATAATGCCTCAAAATAATGAGATCTACTTGGAATTCGCGGCCTTCATCAGATTGCAAACATATACTGCATCACTAAAGACACTGGACTTGAAATTAGCTTTTAACACCATTTGCTACTCCAAGCTTCAAGTTGTCATGACATCGCAATTTTGAGCGCTCCTCGTACGAATGTAAGGAGACAAGAAGTAGACGAAGTGCTAGAAGTGAAACAGCTCAGGGTTGAAACCTGAAGAAGCCAATCGTGTTTGATGCAACAATACATTGTTGTATTTCTGATGCTTTAGCCAGTCTTGGTCCGAAAGGCCCACCACACCATTCAAAAATACGACGCCACGCAGAGCTAAGCGTGGCCTTCGACTAATCGGTCTCCCCTTTCTCCATCTCTACACTCGAAACTGGAGCAGGAGTCTTGACAGTGAAGCGCAGTTAACCATTATTACAAACCTTGTCGGCTTGTCGTTTGAGCACATCTAAGGACCACGGCAGACTTTTTTTGTCAGGGCGAGACAACCAACAAATAATCGGAAAACATGAAGGGAATAGAAATACTAGGAGAGAGGGAATCACGTAAAGCAACTGGCCAGAAGGATTTATACGCACTTGTTAAGTTTGTAGTTAGTGTGTCTGCCTCTATTCTGAAACGAGAACGAGACGAGGTCGAGTGCGGACACATACCAAGAAAAGTGTCGAGGAAAATGGTTTTTTCTTTTCTTTTTTTCTTGCTCTGGTAAGACCCGTCGTCACTTGTGGTGTGTGGTCTGCACTCGATGATCTTCTTTTTTTTCTGAGATAGAAGGTAGCTGTTTTCATACACATGTGGATTTCTTCTTCTTTGACGTGTATGCATTCGAAAAATGGTGACTTGAACCGATGTCAGAATAGGGTACGAGCCACCAAAATCTTCAAGGAGCGTTCTTTTAAAAAATTTCCCTTTTTTCTGATGGTTGTAGCCCAAAGTGAATTAAAAATCTTCAGCTGAGGCTCGACTAACCGACAAGCTGATTCTCACGTTTCCACAAGAATGCACGTGCACCGGAACATCGTACTTACTCTCCTGCAACACAAGACCGTCCTTCACGCTTTGTGCTGCACACCTGCCCTAGACTGATGAAGCAATTGTACAAGACCCACCCCAATTGTTCAAAAAAATAACGATAAAAACGCCAATCCGCGCTTTTTCGTTTATCTCCATAACTCAAATTGTTTTTTTTTGTTTTTTCTAGATTGGGTTTTTGGAAGTTAGATTAGAGCTTACGATTAGCTTTGTTCCAAACATTACTTTCGCGGAGCGCAGAAAAGAGCTATCTCTGTAGAAGAAGCACGGTTTTTATTGGGGCCAGAATGCATTTCACTTTTGGTACCTAGCATTTTGAAAAGATATCGCTCGATAATGACTTCTGAGAAAATTCTCTTATTTGAGTGGAAATCGGTACCAAAATGATCATCGTCATACAAAGAAACCGAAGACCTATTTTCATTTCCATTTCAGATTAAAGTTGCAATTCTGTAACTCATTCTACGCGTCGAATCAAC